ACAAACAAGAGCATGTATGGGGCAGGCATGGCAGGAGAAATGTGGAAAACATTTTTATTTCAGGTCAATAGCCAACCTTCTAAAAGAACTGGAATGACACAGTGAGTGACTCCTCTTTAAAACAACCCTGGGATCTTAAGTATTCTGTTAATTAACGGCATCCTTTATTTGCTTTGTTATCCAGTCTCTAAAATAATTAATATATAAACCCCTATTCAACCTTCAGCTTTTAGTAAAGATTAATTTCCTACTAAACAATATTGACTCTCTCCCTCCCCATTATGGCTCAATTCTGTATGCTTGTATCACTGAAAATGCACGATTTCGTTAAGAAATATTCTTTTTGTTCCTCTTCAAGTTGAGATGCAGCAACTCATGTTTACCCATTGCTTAGGAGCAGACAGGCAGTAGGTTTGAAAAGATGTTACAAATGCAAACAAAAGCACATTGGCTTTTGGCTGTCGGCTACAGCCTTGATGAAGGATCTGGCAGAAGTCCCTTGCCTGGAGTCATAAGTAACTTATTCAGCCAAAACTCAAAACCAGCTTCCTTTTCAAGGTTTACAGAAATCCATACTCAAGTCTAATCCTTTAAACATGTTCCTAGGTGCGTCAAGAAAAAGTACAGCGCACTTGTGAGACTGCCTCTCCTTTTTGCAAATACCACCGTAGGACATTTCTGCAGCCAGCTCCTGGAGTTGGCTTTCCAAAAGCAGAAAAACTCCCTTTGGGCCAGGTATAAACTGCTACTCTTGGATATGAAATTATGGGTTTCACTTTCATGCTAGAAATGTGGATGAAGCAAGTTTTATCTATTACACATTCTATGACCACTGTTGACGTCTACCATGACTACTGTTGACGTCTACCATGACTATATTCTGTATGATCAATCAGCCTGTTAACTCTGGATTATATTTGATCAGACATGGCTTTACTAGGGCATGTGCCTAACTCCAAACACTTAAGTTTCATTGAGGTCTATGTCTCTGTCACGACTAAGGCAAACAGAAATGGTAAAAGGTAAATACTAGCAAATACACAGAACAAGTTACCTTGTAAGAAGAAACTGGGAATTCTGGATAGTCTGCTGACTGTTTTCTGTGTTAGATGTGTTGGTTGTTGTTGTAGATTGTGTCATAGTGGTGTTGACATTGATCGTGTTGGTGCGTCTAGTTGCATTGCGTGCAGTCTCCAGTTGTTGTCTTGCTGCCTGTGCATGTTGTCGTTCCAGCTGCAGTTGCATCTGCAGCTGCTGTAACTGAGAAGCAGAAGGACCAGAGGAGTTGAGCTGTCCTCCTGCAGAACGCCTCACGCCTGATAGCTGAGATAAAAGCTCTGCCAGAGAAGAGAAAGTTTCTATGATGAAAGATCATAAATAAGCATTACACGATAGAACAAATACACCCTGAATTCCAGTGCATCAGTTCCTTTTTTCAATCAATAAAATCAAAGAATAAACAATGCTGAAGAGCCCATGAAGCTCTTGAAAAAAGTCCTAGCATTCAATGTCTCAAAGGGTAAGGAAGATTAAGACTCATTTATGCAGATTTATTCTAAATAAGAAGTCAAAGTTTAATGCCTTCAAAATAACAGGAGAGCCAATCTACAGGAAATGCCTGGCAAATTATGTCCTCTGCAGCAATTCTCTGAAACTTCAGGTCAAAAATAGCAATTGACAGAGAAACTGCTTCATTTTGGCTTCATTTTTTTTTGTTTGGGGATTTTATTTTCTTAACAAATGTTCCCTCAAAACACAGGCTTTACCTTCCCAATATCCCAGAGGGAAGCTGTGCTGCAGCAAAGAGAAATATTGTACTGTTGCTTCAAATATTTAATAAAAAATATTTAATTAAGAAAACATTGAAGTACTGCCTCACATCAAAACTGAAGCAGTCAAGCATTTTTGCTGTATGAATTTTTACTTCTACCAGAAGTACAGAGAAGGCCTAGCAATTAAAAAAACATCCATCCTTAAGTCTTCCAATTCAGAGGGATGGAATGCTTATAGCAAGTTTCATCCACAAAGAATTTTTTGAAATAAATATTAGCAACAAATTACATCTCAGTGCATTACTGCAGAATCTCTTCTACACCCTGTGTTGAAGGTACTTCTTACATCATCTGCTTGCCACAGCTGATGCAAGGGCAGAGGAAGCAGGGGACGGTACTGCTTCTGCCCCTCACCTCTACATTACAAAGTTACTATATAGGTCATGACAATTTTCCTTCCATTGCATTTACAAAATTCAATCCTTCTAAATAAGGCTTTCTTTAAGGGAATAAAGCAAAATGCAGTTGTTTTCCATGTCAGGAACTCAGGATGGTCAAGTCATTTTTACCAGCACTGACAGCAATACCAAGATTAAATAACTTAATTCCATTGTAATTACTAGAAAACACCACAGGGAGAAAAAAAAATGTAAAAAAAAAAATGTAACAGATGCTATAAATGTCATTTATTTTAAACAGAAAAATTCTGGTGGGCTTTCCTATTTATTACTCAAGTAAAAGGGAAGATATATGAAACTTCCACACAAGATTTAGATGTATTTATTCTCACTGTAAGTTAAAGCATAAGTTACAGCTTAGAGTATAGCAAAACAGCATTTTGGAAGCAGATGTGAGCTCGACAGAGAGCCTTAGTGTAAGAAGGACACCCAGCTCAGTGTGCAATTGAATTCTAAATGCACAAAACACTAAAGCTTCCACCAAAAAAGAAAAGATTCAGAAGAATGCCATTTTATCCCACATTTAATGCTGGTAAGTGGGAAGGCCTTGTGAGGCTGAGAACAAACTTCAGCAGCCACTCCACATTTAACTGAGCTGAACTAACTGCCCTTGTAAGAGAAAGAAGAGGTCTTGCACTGGCGGCTTCACAAACATCCTCCCTCCTTGAACAAACTCTACTCCTTTTCAGACCCTCCTGTGACCTCGCTTAACTTACTTCCCAGCTAATTTAATGAGTTAAACGAGGTCCCAGTGGGCCAGCAGAGCACCAAAGCCAGTAGAAGGCAGGCAAGGGGACAATGATTAAGGAAGGCAGTGGAGCCACAACTCCCCTTTCAGAGGCAATGCCTCATTAAGCTGGCTGGCTACCTCCCTCTGAAAAAGTCACAGTATGTCAGTAGGAAGCTCCAGTTTAAGCATCACGCCTTCTTGGCATCTGAAGCAAAGGTGGATTATGGCAGAAGGTTTCCCTGACACTTAAGCTAGCATGGTCAAAGACCACTGCATAAAAACGTTTAGATTTCCCCTTAGGGAAAGCTGTATTTGTTTTCAGAATTGTCTTCATATTTTAAATGCCCATTAATACTCCAATTCAGCTAATTTCGTCTTCATTGAGACAGATACTGTCCTCCATAAAGACCTTTATCCACATGGCAAATTACTAAAGCAGGTGATGGAAGTTGGACACAATCACTTGTAAAAATACACAACACCTGTGCACAGATTAGGTTTGGGAATAAGCCTTACCCTGTCTAAGACTAAAAGCACAAGCTACAGGCAGTGGTTTCAGCTTCAGCATCTCTATGTGCAGGCCCTGTGACAACCCAGCCAAGCACACTGCTCACCTGCAAGCCGCCATCGATCACACTTGCACTGTGGAGCATATCTATACATGCAGTTTCATAACAACAGAAAGCAGGGCAACTATTATAATCTTGAATTTTACTTCCCCTGTGTAAGAAGGACACTGGGGTAAAACTCGTGATTACAGCTCTTACCAGCTATAGGATCCATGGCTTCTCTATTGCTTGGAGAATATGAACTCTGAGAAGATGAAAGCCCACCAGGGGAACTGGTAGTAAAGTGCATGTTTGATCTACGTGCACGGGGGCCTCCCAAACCCCGGCCTGGGTGGAACATCCTACGTACATGCCGAACACCACTGGATTCATCGTAACCAAGAAGTTAAGAAAACAGAACTGTTTGGCATAGAGTATTAAATGACAAGGACATTGGATGGGTGAAGTACTCAGGTGCACACTCTTCTTCATTCATAAAATTATGATTCAACTTCTAAAGCAAAGCTAAAGTACACTGTAGCTATGGTGCAAGTCAGACTTACTGATCTGAACTCAAGATACCCAGTGCTGTGTACACCAAAGTCCCTGTACTTCTCCAGCTTTTTATGGTGTCTAAGAAACATCAGGATTAATTTCTTAGGGTTTTTAGATCGAAGTTTTCTACTCATTAATCTGAAAACTCTGACAAATGCATGTTCAGCCAAGCTTATTTCAGAGACATAGGGATTTTATTTCCCCTCTCCAATTCTTATGTTAAGTATTGAAAATAATAAAAAAGTTTATTGCCATTCCTATCAAAAGTACATAATAATTACTGTATTCCTTTTGACTTTTGTACTTCATGCTTTTATCCAAGAAATTTCATCACTTCAATCCTTAAGAAAATGTAGGTTTTCAGCAGAGTTCAGCACTTTCAACACACCCTTTTGTTTCACCTTTCCTCTTTAGCCAAAGAAATACCACTAATTCCAGTTATGATGACGCCCTTCATTCTCCCCCACTTCTCCATATCCCACTTCTCCATGCTTGTATTTCAAGTCATACCTTTTATACGTTTTCTCATATAAATTAAGAGACAATCAAGAAGTTATTTAAAGCTTATTTTTGTCATTCCTCCAAGACAGTCCAGATACGGCTTCCTTTTGTTTTAAAAATCACTAGTATAATTCACTAGTGCAAAACAAAATAGCATAGACCTGAATATTTTATTTACTGCTACTAAACTTTTAGCTTAGATCCTCCTATCTCCCATGTTCTTTATTTTTATAATAGTATGCTTACCACTCGTATGGTATCCATTACTGCATAAGAGTAGCATCCAATGTACTTTTCATAAAACACAGTTACGGTGCAGAACCTCAGGATGTCATGGAGGTCAAGAACTTAAGACTGAAAGAAATTACTAGACTTCTCATGGCAAGAAAGGACTTCTGGCTATTACAAAAAGATTTTACAGAACATTTGCCTCTTTCAAACCTATTAGTTACACTACAGTGTAAAACACTTAACATCTAGGGTGTAAGAGGAAAATCTCCCCGGCACAGAACACGCTTTGCCTAGCACAAAGTGCCTTGCACCTCTGAGTGTGCTAAAACTGGATGCTACTGGAGACAAGATACTGTATTAGATGGACTACTGCCCCCAAGCAGTTTGGCAAGCTTTTCATAACTAGACCTGGTAGAAAAGGGCAGTATCTGGGGATTTTTCAAACAGACACAGGACTGTGGGGTAATTTTCCTAACTGCAGCTTTTGAAGTGTTTTGAGATAAATACCACTCTTTAAATACAAGCTAGGACCAAGCTCTCATGGCCAGAGCCACCGCATTCAGCACCCTACTCCTCCCACCTGCTGAGAGCCCCACTCCTGTCCACAGGGAAAGGTGAAGTAGAGATAACTGCTTTTACCTGACTTTGTAGTGTTCTTTACATTATTGGTTACTCCTGCACAGAGCCAATAAACACCCAAACTCCTTTACACTGATCCAATTATTGCGTAGTAATCAACATGTGCATTTAGTCTGTCCTGACTCTAAACCATGATAACACTAACAAACTTAAATGCAATCAAACACAATCATAATTGAAATGGAGCCATCTCCTTAAATGCTGTCTCCCTTCTGTTAGCGTAACGAACTCCAGTGGCTAGGGTTCGGATTTTTTTTTTTTACTGCAGTTGCTAGGGCTTAGAGTTTTCTTTTTTCCCCCTTTTTAAAAATTTTTAAACAAAAAAGTCACTATCAAAGTAATAATGTAGTCTCATTTAAACAAACAGACAAAAAAATCACAAAGGAATACTTCAGAGAGATTACTTACTGTAGGTAGCTACATAGCCTGCATGTCATTAAATAAAAAGCCCAAACCAAAATACATTTCATCAGTTAATCCTGGGAGGGGGAGGGGGGATGAGGGTGGGGGGGATTTAAAAAAGAAAAATATTCTTAGAACAAGGATAAAAAAACCCAATAGTTCCAGCTCTTCAGCCATCAAGCGTAGATAAATCTGTATAACCTGCTGCTAAGGTAACTGAAAGACAACATCCTATTTCCTAGGAAATCTGAAAGTTTTCTGAGTTATATTACAAAATGTCAGTAACACTATGAAATTACGTTATTAAAACATGGTGTTAAAAGTAGTTAAGCGAGTTTAAAAATCAGTCATCAAAACCAGCTAAGCTCAAATCACTCTCAGATCATCATCTTCATGTCACAAATACTTACAGCACACTACTAATCTGGATACATAAAGCAGCATCAAGACTAATAATCAGGAAGGATAAACCACAGCGCAAGTAGAAATACCTCTCCGTGTCAAAGTTCTTTAAATGTTTTTGCTGTTAGAGCAAAAAGCACTGTCAAGTATATCTACAGTTTGTTCACAATCTGGTATTTATACATTTTTAAACTAGCAAATGAACCTTTTTATTTTTGACATACATATCTTCAACAACTTGAGTTCCAGGAAAACCGAGGTATGACCCTTTGACTATAAAAATCAAAACAAGTCATCATGGCTACTAGATGAAACAGTCTAGCCTCTTCGCCTCAACTTGGAAAGGATATTAAATCTCTAGGAGCTCTGTGTTCCAGTGTAAGATGAGCTGCAAAGTCATCTGTGACATGATTTGGATCCCCTCCAGGTAATGCTGCACATATTGGACAAATCTGAAATGACAAAGCGAGAAAAAACCAACTTTATAAATTTTACACAAAACAGAACTTGTATCATTGAGTCAATCATTAGACATTGATTCTTATGCTTTAAAATCATATTCTAGGTATTCACAAACACCTGGATAGCAAGATATTAAAAAAAACAGAAAATGTATTCAAGTGCGGACATGAATTGAGACATCTTTTACTTTACGATTTTCAGAATGCTATGAAAACCAGAGCTAGAATTTTCAAATTCTGTTTGCATGTCTTGAAAATTAGCCTTTGTATGCCAATTCTGCCACTGACAGTAGAGTCTGATTACACAGGATTACTATTTGCCTGCTCAACTCTCATCCCAGCAGAGGAATCAGAATGAAACCACACGTCAGTATTTGCTGAAGTATCAAACTGAGACCACACATCCAGGCAGTGCGTAACTACACGTTTGGCAGAGGTTTGATCTCCATATCCCTACACAACAGTATTTTGGGAGAAGACACTGACATCTGTCTTTGGTTTGTTTTTTTGTTGTTTTGGGGTTTTTTGTTTGTTTGTTTTAAACCAAAACACACGTTAATTAAGTAGAGAAACAATGCCATTACAATTGCCATAAATATGACTTGTTTTTTGAATGACTCCATGAACAGTTTGAAAAGCATCTTCCATTTTTCTTTAAAGTAGTTTTGCAGACTGATTTTAAAGTTTTACAGACGGCAGCAAAAAAAAAAACCCATTCCACAAAATTATTCTCCCAAATGTTTAGTGCTCAAATCAACAGCACTTTGACAGTTAAAAGCAACTGCTGTCTATGAATTTATCTCTCTGTTCCTCAATCAAATAGTCTGGCCTTTATAGAGCAACTCTGGCTGCAACATAAAGCCCAGGTTCCCAGTGCTCTTCATGCATATACTGAAGTTGTTGACAGTAGATCTCAAAAGATCGTGGGTATCAAGAACACCTATATAATAGCACACACATCTGTAACTCTTATGGAGGTGAGGACAAGATCTTGAAATAAGTTTACTGTAAAATCTCAGTTGCTTTTGACAGCATCTGCTACATCTTTAATTTTAGTGGTCAACTGAGCAGAAAACCAGGCATTTTAAAGCTTTTTGCTACAACCCCTTCCCCTTTATTTTCAATGTTCAGCATTTGTCTTCACAGAACTCCTCTTTCCAGATTTTTCACGACTACAGAAGCCATAAAAGCGGACACACTACAGAGCAAAGACATCTTATTACAGTGTAATATAATAAACACTCAACTATGCCAACATACCATACAGGACACACGAATGGATGTATATTGGACAGATGATTCTAAAGTCCATAAACTTATTTATAAGCTGCTTAGTCTTCAAGAATGTGTTTCAGATCAACAAAGCAATATTTTTTCATTTAAGCTACTCTGAGGAAGCAGAACCCCAATATGAGAAGAACACCACACTTCTGAAAGCAGCAAAGTAAAAGAAAGTTCTTTTTCTAACAGGACAAGGCATTATGAACTGTGTATATTTGCCTGAAAAAACAGAGACCCAGCCCGCAGAAAAACATCAGCTAAGAAAAAGTTATAAGGGACAATGAAAAGGAGGGAATCTAAGTATCCTAACACTAATTCTAAACATGAACTAAACTTCCAAGAACTCCCTGACTGGGAAAAGTTACCGAAGCATTGTTACACACAAACAAAAATTTAGTTAAAGCAGAAGCTCTGGCAAAATCACAACACAGACTGAAGCATCACTGATTAAGCATGACACAGCTAAAAATCATTGTTAATAGAACATACATGAACAAATGATGCAGATGAAAGGAAAACATTGTCAGAAGTTTCTCCTGAAGTTATGATCATTCGCATTAAAAAATCATCATGTTACCCTAAATGATGCCTGAAAGATGACTGCAAAGTCCTAAGTCAATCACACTCACAGAATACCTGCCAGTTTCTAGAAGTGTGCTTATATTACCACTACCTCCCTATTTACATACAAGGTAACCACTTTAAGTGACAGTATTTCTGTAACCGCAAGGAGAGACAATGTAATCTTCAAGAATGAAACAGGAACCATTCAGACTGTCTCAGATTGTCTATTTCATTACTGCAATAAAAGCTCTCCTCAATTTTATCAGCAACCTATCAACAACCTAGTCTTTACAGTTCACGTACAAGGAGCCTACTTACTGCCTTGCTAAATGTGAAAAAGTTGCTGCAGTGCAATGTAATAGTAGGAAATTTGTGTCTCTGTTCTGAAATGAGATTCAAAGATGACATCTGATGAAGTTCCCTAAAATTTTTGTATTTACAATGCTAGCAGACTACTTCTTCTGCTGCATTTTATTTGGAACAGTCAACTGACCTGAAACCCAACGCTGACAATAACAATCATCGTACTGACAGCCAGATTCTTCTGCACTTGCCTTACAATGCTTACCATCACCCTTGGACACTTACTGGTGAAGAAATATTGGTAATTACTGAGGTTTTAGCACTCACCAAAATCATATGATTTATTCTTTTTAGTGTGTAACCTTAAGAGACTTAATCAATCACAAAACTTATGATAAGCATCAGTATAATTTTCCATTAAAGTATCCAGAACTAAAACAATCACCTTCAAGGAAATATCATCAAACTCTCCTCCTGGAGTTCCTCGCCAGGACCTCAACATGCTGGGGTGCCTCTCCAAAGTGCCTGTATACTAATGCACACAGCATGGGGAATAACCATGATGAGTTGGAGATCTGCGTGCCGTTGCAGGGCTACGATCTTCTTGGGATGACAGAGACATGATGGAATGGCTCCCATGACTGGAGCATTGCAATGGAGGGATATGGGCTCTTCAGAACGGAGAGGAAGGGGGCTCTTTAGAAGAGGAAGGAGGGGCTTGCCCTTTATGTGAGAGAGCAACTGGAGTGCACACGAAGCTCTGCCTGGGGATGGAAGAAGAGCTGATGGAGAGCTTATGGGTTGGGATTAAAGAGAGGACAGGCAAAGGTGACATTATAGTGGGTGTCTACTATAGGCCACCTGATCAGGAAGAACAAATGGATCAGGCCCTCTACAGACATAGGAGTTGCCTCACACTTGCAGGCCCTAGTCCTCATGGGGGACTTCAACCACCCCAGTATCTCCTGGAGGGATAACACAGCATGACAGCAATCCAGGAGGTTCCTGGAGTGCACTGATGATCACTTCCTCCTCCAATTGACTGAGGAGCCAACGAGGAGAGGTGCTCTGCTGGACTTCATACTCACCAAGAAGGAGGGGCTAATTCGGGATGTGAAGGTCAAAGGCAGCCTTGGCTGCAGTGACCTTGAGACGGTGGAGTTCAGGATCCTGAGGGCAGGGAGGAAGATGAAAAACAAGCTCATAACCCTGGACTTGAGAAAAGCAGACTTTAGTCTACTTCAAATATCTGCTTGGAGGAGTCCTGTGGGAAAAGGCCCTGGAGGGTCGAGGGGCCCCAAGAAAGCTTGTTAATATTGAAGGACCATCCCCTCTAAGCTCAAGAGTGCTCCGTTCCCAATGAATATGAAAATGCCAGGATACCTACGTGGATGAACAAGATGCTCCTGGCCAAACTCAAACACAAAAAGGAAGCATACAGAGCTTACCCTCCTGGGATAGTTGAAGGAATACAGAAACATTATCCGAGCATCTCAGGACAAAGTAAGGAAAGCTAAAGCCCAAATGGAATTGAATCTGGCAAGCAATGTCAAAGGCAACAAGAAGGGCTTCTAGAAGTACATAGGCAACAAGAAGAAAACTTGGGAAAATGTGGGCCCATTGCTCAAAAGATGGGGGATGTGGTTACACAGGACACAGAAAAGGTTGAAGTACTGAATGCCTCCTTTGCCTCAGTCTTTACTAGAAAGACAGGCCTTCAAGAATTCCAGAGATCAGTGGGAAAGTCTGGAGCGAGGAATACATTCCCCTGGTGGAATAGGATTAGGTTAGGACATACTTAAGTCCACGGGCTGCAATGGGATGCACCCACAAGTGCTGAGGGAGCTGGCAGATGCTGTTGCGAGGCTGCTCTCAACAATCTTTCATCAATCATGGGGACTGGGAGAGGTGCCTGAGGACTGGAGTAAAGCAAATGTCACCCCTGTCTTAAAGAAGGGAAAGAAGGACCACCTGGGGAACTACCGCTGGTCAGGTCACCTCGATCCCTGGGAATATGATGGAGCAGCTAATCCTGGACACCATTTCCAGGCACATTAAAGACAAGAAAATCATCAAGAGCAATCAGCATGGCTTCACGAAGAGCAAGTCATGCTTGACCAACTTGATAAACTTCTATGATGAAGTGACTGGCCTGGTAAATGACTGGAGAGCAGTGGATATTGTCTACCTGCACTTCAATAAGGCCTTTGACACTGTCTCCCATAGGATCCTCATAGACAAGCTGTTGATGCACAGGCTGGATAAGCGGACAGTGAGGTGGAGCGAAAACTGGCTTAATGGCTGGGCTCAGAGGGTGGTGATCAGTGGAAATTTTGCTAATGACACAAAACTGGGAGGAGTGGCTGACACGCCAGAAGGCTGTGCTGCCATTCAGAGGGACCTTTGAGGCGCTTAGGGACATGGTTTAGTGGGCATGGTGGTGTTGGGTTAACGGTTGGACTTGATGATCTTAGAGGTCTTTTCCAACCTTAATGATTCTACGATTCTATGACCTCAGCAGGCTGGAGAAACGGGCCAACAGGAACCTCATGAAGTTCAACAGGGGGAAGTGCAAAGTCCTGCACCTGGGGTGGAACAAGCCCAGGCACCAGCGCACACTGGAGCCCACCCAGCTGGAAAGCAGCTTTGCAGAAAAGGACCTGAGGGTCCTGGTGGACCACGAGCCAGCAATGTGCCCCTGCACAAAGAA